TTTGTGATGTCACAAAACCGTTACAGGTACATCCACCTACTCAGCCTACAGCGTTCAGCTCCTCCCACACTGAACTTATAGGGAGGGCTCATTTACATATGTCCGTCTTAAAGGCACAGTAACGCAGACAGTCTGTTTAATCCTGAGGGATAAAGAGAGTCATGTGAAAATTGCCTGGTGTGTTTTTGGTGCGGCTGAAAGATCGAAAGAGCGCAATTTTTATTAGTCTTAGTCTATAATCAACAGCCTTGATACGATGCAAGCTTTACGTAGGTAAATTTTGCCTGATAGCATAGAGCTTGTGGACTGCTGTGACATCACAACCACAAATAACTGTCAGGCTGGCGCTCTGTGGTAACGGTTCAAGTCTCAAGCCAGAAAAAATATACGCTGCTCTTCATAGCCAAAAGAGCCCAAACCTCAATTAACCCCTCAGTTATAAACGTCTGCAGTTTAAATCGCAGTCTGTGGTCAGAAAAATCACGATTAGATATTCAGCCAAAATCTTTCAGCCCCAGTTTTTGGTCCATACAGCAACACACGCGTCATAGATGGACCTCTGAAATGAAGTGCAGAAGAGCGTAGGGTACAGGCCCTTTAACTCTCTTTCATTACTCTACGACCGTGTTTGATACACGCCTGCGGCCCAGCTCCTGCACTGAGGCTGTTGGACAGGCTCGCTCTCGCGCACTCTCGCGCTCTCTCTCCTCATGTGTGGTTTATTTTTAACCTCTTCTCTCAGAGACAGGCCTCTGTGTGCACGTGTTGAGTTTGTTTGGTGGATGAAGGTCATTTTCCCTCCGCTCAGTATAACCGTAAACTTCCCAACACGTTCAGTCTTAGACCCTGTTCAGACGGGGTGAGTCTAATGCGAGGTAGTCTTATTATTACCAGTGTTTCTCAGTGATTTTAGTCCTGTCCGAATGCGCCGGGTCAGTCATGTTTACAGACTGCAGTCAGTAAAGATTCCAGCGCCTTTTACCTTCAATAAAACGAGCCTTAAAAATAACCTCAGATTATAATAATCCCATGTGAATCAACATGTCAGTGAAAGTGCTGTCGTAGTGCTGATCTTGCAGAGTTTTTTTCGTTCACTTTCAGGTGTTGAGCGTCTGATGGAAATCCTGGTAGTATGTTAGTTATTGATCCTGTGTGAATCGATATGTCAGTGAAAATGCCATCATATCCTGGGAAAAGGAGTTTCTTTATTAAGGGAGCAGTTGAGTGAGTTCACTCTTGTTCTCTGTAAGCTATGAAACGTTACCGCCTTTTCTCACGAGTGCAACTCAGCGTGTGTAAAATTACAGGAAATAAAAATGAAGCGAAGTTCACGGTTTGCTGTGAATTCCAGGCTAATGGTGATGCGCTGCGTACACGTTAGGGTAAACAAAATAACGGCTACATTAAATGCTTTAACTTTTATTTTCTGCCGCGTCGCTCCATCTCTGTCATCTATACCGAGATTTCTCATCCTGTCCAAATCGCTCGTAAACATTACAGACGTCCTGAGCTAAACTGGCATCACCCCCCTTTACCACGGAGAGCTGACCCTGTCCCGATACGGCTTTACTCCTCTCTCTCTCTCTCTCTCCTTTTTTGCTCTAGTATTACAGGTGAGAATGGCCAGAGGCTCCGTGATACGATATCACAGTACAGTGTTATCACAATACAGTATTATCACAATACAATACTAATGATATGATGTCACAATATGATATTCTCTTGATACAGTTTTATCACAGTGCAGTATTCACATAATACAGTAACTCAATACAGTATCATTGTACAATAGTGCAACACAGTGTTGTCACATAATGATATCACAGCACAATATTGTGATTCAGTGTCAGGACAATATAAAATCACACTATCATCACGATGCAGTATTTCAAATCGCGAGAGTTCCAGTTTTTTATTCATGCCCTGCATTATTAGCATCACTTTCTTAATGTTTATTAAAGAGGTTTTTTTTATTTTAACCAAATGGTAATTTTTGTTATGCCGTTTTTTTCACACTTGTTGCAAAGATAAATGGTTTTAAACAAAGTTCTTAGGTGCCCAAGACTTTTGCACAGTTCTGTAAATGGGCTATTTTTTTTGTGACATCACAAAAGCAGAGAGTTCAAAATGGGCTTTTTTTCCATTTGTGGACTTTCTGGTCTGCTGTGTTTTGAAATGAGACGATGTTTTCACAGTACATTATCACTGGGATAAAGCAGTCTTACACAAAGCTATGTTCTGATGGTACGTTGTGAAATTATGATGCTTGACCCACAATATGGTTCAGTTGTGATTTTGATGTGTGCTTGCCTGAGTAATGCAGCGAAAATATCACATGCTGACAATGTCAGCTGTCAACATATACGATGCTCTGCCAACTTTTGTTATAATTAAAGAGCTGTTTATCTGGGCTGTAAGTGTTTATTTACTGTAATAAACTCTAATATCAGAATAATAAATACAAAACATTAATATAGTAAGTACTGGTTTTACATATGAGTTCATTAAACACACTTGTTGCGGCGATAAATGGTTTTAAACAATGTGCTTTGTTGCTCGAGACTTTTGTGCAGTTTTGTATGTAATTCTTTATTATTGTTTTTTTTTGTGACATCACAAAAGCAACACTCAGAATGGGCTGTTTTTGCAGTTCAGTTTCTGTAAGGACTGGCACGATTCGACGCTTTAAAATGTTTGTATATAGAAAATCACTCTTATTTTGTTACGAATGTTCAGTTTTCAGTGATACGGGCCCTTTAAATTGTCTTACATGTGACCAAATAAAGCATTTTAAAGAGCGCTGGTGGGTGGGGGGGGGCGAGGGGGGTGAGGAAATATGTAAACGCTCTGGAGTTTTCCTCGAAACCAGGACGAGAGAGTCCAACGTCTTGTCAAACTGTTGGCCGCTCTGAGTTTCTGTGTGCAGAGAGAAAGAGAGAGAGAGAGAGAGAGAGAGACACACACAGAGAGAGAGAGAGAGAGAGAGAGACACAGAGAGAGAGAGAGAGAGAGAGAGACACACAGAGAGAGAGAGAGACACAGGGAGAGAGAGGGAGGAATGCGGTTACTCCATTTTAGGAGTTGCATAACGGAGATCCACCGCTCGTGTGTCCTGTCCTCCTGACCGCTGGCCGCTCTGCTGGAACTCCAGCCACACTGGCTATAAAACTCGGTCTGAACTGATCTGGAGACAGTTTGGCTCTTTAAAGTCGACCTCAGATCAAAATAACAATCGTTATTTCGTGTTCTTGGTCATTTTAAGCACAGTACATTGTGTCGTATCATTCAGAGACAAAATTCCTGTGACTTTGTTGTCTTTAAATCAGCGCTATGTAAGATTTTTTGTTAAAGCTGAAACAAGTGTCACTGTTGGGTGAGGAGAATATAAACAGGCTAAAATAGCCTGTAAAGCCTGAAATAATCATTTAAAAGTCAGTGGCATCGAGTTTTTCACTCCACGTCGTACGTCTTTACGTATTAACGTCACACACAGACTCTAAAAGAAGGTCCGGCTCGATGTTTCGGCCTCAAATGATCTCAGAATCAACATCACACTGATGAAGATGTGATACAGTAGTAGATAATTCACTCTCATCCTCAGAGACGCTCCTTCAGTTTAGACTGAGTTCTCTTTTCAATGCACTCGCAAAAGTTGAGATTCATCCGCTTTCGGGGGTCCGAAGCACAACCGATGCTACGAAGTGTTCTTCCACACATTGTGTGCAATTATACATGTCCCCCAGAGGGGGCTCCAAATCCCCAAATCCTACATAAATGCCGTCTGATGTTTGGCTTTGCAGTGCGTAGCAATACTGTTCTTCGTTTTATACCATTCTTTACTTTTTTTTATTTTTCTGCTGTGGTTTTCGAGATATCAACACCGTTCCGACTCCAGATTGTCCGGTCTGATTGTGTGATTCAGGCTTGTATACAGCTTTTTGATTAGATGTATGGTTTTCGTGCAACCTTCATTAAATTCCGTTGGAATGAATGGGGTGAAAAATTGCATGACAATCTACTGTACTTCTGCTAAAAGACACCGTTTCGCATATACTTTCTCAGGGCAGCCCCCCAAGCACGGATTCAATGTTCTGACCCGCACTCATCTGTTTGTCTTTTTTTTGTCTTTTCATCCCTCATTTCTCCCATAGACTCCCATTCACTTTCACCACCACACACACACTCTTATTACTTTGTTGCCCAACAGACACCAAACTACATGGACTCACTAAGGGTAGGACCTCAAACTCTAATCCACAGCCATACTGACCCGCACTCCCCTGTGTTTTTTTTTTTTATCCCTCATTCCTTCCATAGATCCCCATTCAATTTCAACAACACGTAGCTAACACTTACCAACACCTTAGCAACCACCTGGGATAGTAACCGCCTATGAAAAACATAGCAGGGAGTAGGAACCATTTAAGCTGTGCAACCGTTCTGCGTTTCCCTCAGGAAATGCACGTTTCTAGTTATATTATATTATATTATACCAACCAATAATATCTCAGCATGTTTTCCCTCCCGCCGTCCTGACCAATCATCGAGTGAAAACGCCCACCATCACCTCGGTACCACCTGCATGTACATGTATGTATGATCTAGATTTGAAGTGAGAATGGTTCAATCCCGACCCCCATTTTGGAGGTTCTGTGCTATGAGGGACGCTTCAGAGGTCAAAGCAGCCGTAGCAGTAGCACTATTAGTGAAAGACGTGAATTATTTAATTTACTTTATTAAGACTCTTATTGACAGTTTATTATTTGCCCATAAAAACTGTGGAAATTAAACTACATGAGAGCCGAGCTCTGTTTGTTATTAAACTGATGTGAATAAATCACGATATTCATGTTAGAACATCCTTATGTGAGTATTTAACCACAAACATGCTCGATAAGCCCCCGTCTCCCGTTCATTGTTGGGTACAGAACATCACCCTCGGTCTTGTCTTTGTCGTCCAGCTCTGATCCCTCGTTCTTTCCTCTCCTCTCTCTCCGCAGTGTGTCCGTCCTCCTGTAAGCACCGCGCCTGCACCAAGGATAACCAGTGCTGCCACGATCAGTGCCTGGGCGGCTGTGTGGAGCCGAACTCTCCCAGCAAATGCGTGGCCTGCAGGAACTTCCTCCACCAGGGGGTGTGTGTGGAGAGGTGCCCCCCGGGGTTCTACACCTTCAAAGGCTGGAGATGTGTGGACTTCGCCTTCTGCCAGGCTCTGCACAACAAGTGCAAGCAGGGCAAGCAGGGCAAAGGCGGCGAGTGCCACGAGTACGTCATCCACCAGGGGGCGTGCATTCCTGAGTGCCCATCAGGGTACACCACCATCAACTCCACCACGTGAGTACAGACACGAGGAGACCCTCATATTCACGACCTCCAAGCTGTATTAATTTACATACAACCGTATAGATCAGGGTTTCTCAGCCACTGGCCCGAAGCACCCTCTGGTGGTCCTTGGACCAATAATGAGGGGGAGCAAGTGGTCTGTAGTCAAAAAATCGACTTAGTAATAAAAAAATGTTTTCCTACAGTAAACAAAACTAATTCAAGCTCTGGAACAACGACACACAAAGCAGTTTCAGCTATTTTTTTGCTCCTTGTCTTTAGAGGCAAAATACCCTTAGGCCCATTTCTGATTTTTACCCCTACCCCTTGTTTTCGAGTGTTGCCCCTTGGAGCTGAGTTACAGGGCAGTGGTTGAGATCTTCCCTCTGAAATGAGACCCTTAAATAAAAAGAGCATCACTTCATTAACAGCTACCAGCGCTGCTCTGTAGGAGACCCTGCCAGTCTGCAGTGACAGCAGAGGAGGGTAAAGTTCAGCTCCTCACTGCTGGGCTTTAGTTACATTTAGGGCATCGTATGCCTTCAAAGAGGGGGGCAATTATTTATTATCACCCCTAATTCTTCAGTGATATGAAGCTGAAGTCAGATATTCACCAGATTCTTATTCGAATTTTCCCGTTCCACCTTAAATGGAGCAGCAGTTCTGATGCCTGAGGAGCCAGAATGTAACCACAGCTCCATTTAAGGTGGAACGGGAAATTGAAATGAGAAGCTCTGGAGATGTGCAGGTCATCCGGATCCACCAATCAGCTGGTCTTCTCCTCGTAGTGTTTCTGGAGACGCATTTAAAGTGACCACATATCTGTTCATGTGTTTGTGGTCATTCTGGTCTGCGTTGTTGGTGTTCGTTCTCCTGCAGAGCTGTATGTGCAGTAACGGTGATGAGACGAGCTCCATCAGAGCTACAGCTCACCCACCAACATGGAGACGCGGCCTTCTTAATGATGCAATACAGTACTTTAAATACCTTTTATAAAGGGTTTATTAATGGTTTCAAATTAAAAATCAGAAGGTGATCCGGTCCAGATAAACGTCCTCTTGCATTACGGACCAACTCACCACGTCTCATCCTGGTCATTTGATCGGCTGCAGTTGGTGAAATATGTAGCGCAGCTGTATGAACTGTATGCAAATGAGCGCATAATGTTTTATTGTTTATTTTTGTTTTAACTGATGTCATTGGTCGAGCAGTGGTTTGTGGGTCAGAGGTTAATCATTTTCATCCCTAAATTATATTAATTATGGCATCTTCAAAAAGAAAAATCATAAAAACGTCTGTTTTTGTTTTGTGTTTCATAATTCATGCAGTAAAACATTTCTTCTCCCCTGAACTGACCTGTAGTTGCCACATGGTAGCTGACCTCACCACGCCCCGCTATATGAGAGAGAGTGAGCGAGTGACCGAGGTTAGCCGTGTTACAGCTCGGACACCAGACACACAAATCACTGCAGCTGGACGGCCGCTGTGCTGTGGTTCCTTCTGCCTTTTGTTAGAAAACAGCAGTTACAACACTCCGACACTGCTGCCCTGTCCGTCTGTCTGTCTGTCTGTCTGTCTGCGTGTTTGTGGGTGTTGGTTGTCAGGTGTCTGGCTGCAGAACTGACGGACGGATGGACGCACCCAATTTTCTAGGGTGTGTTGAGATGCCGTGCTGTGCCGTCTGATTTAGAGCTCTGTAATCAGGGCGAATATCTTCAGTACAGCGATGTACAACTACAGTCGGACAGTCTGATGGGCAGTCTGACAATATTTTATCATCTTTGTGATAAATACTGACAATATCCTTTTCTGAATATATCGCTGAAGTGATCAGTACTTAATAAATACTGTCCAGCTTACAAAGAGAGCATAAGTAGTCCTGTTTAGCTGGATTTGGTGCAGTGCAGTGTGTGAAACGTTGAAGTTTGTATTCATCGTTTTTGATCGTATTTTTCAGGGGTGCATCGATACCCATACTGCTATTGGCTATCGGCCTGATACGGTGCTCATTTCCTCATATTCATAAAAATGCACCGATACCAACATTCCGAAACCATATGGCGTAAGCTGAGTGTAGCTGCTCAGACCTGCAAGAAGTTCAGAATATCCTCCTTTTCTGGCTTAAGGCTAAAAACCTAAGTGCAGTGAGCCAAACTGCCGGTAAGTTGTGGTTGTGATGTCACAACACATGAAGGTTTGATTGCATGTGATTGGTCTAACTCATCTACAGGCAGACTTAAAACTTAAGACAATGTTTTTGATAACGTAGCCTATAATTTAAAAAATTGCAGCTCTTGAGTTTAGAAAATTGCACTCTTAAAATGCAGTTTTCGATATAAAAACATTTAATCTTTCATCCCTCTTGACTAATGAACAAACACAATGAAGGAGGATCTGTTTACACAAAGAAGAGTTACTGACTCCGTCACAGTCGGACACAAAGCCATCGCTCACTTTAAATATTCCTCCTTGGCAGATTTCCACCAGGATACACTGTAAGATTTTAGAGCTTTTATAAACACACAATCACAACCGCTTCCCCAACACGGGTGGAGACACGTAGGCCAACACAATGGAGGAGAAAAAGTTGACGTTTGCTACCAGAGTCCGTATGTAAGACTTTACTCTGTTTGACTGAATAGAACTGTGAGATATAAAAGTTTCACAATACACGATATGCATCACAGTGTTTAGTTTTTCTAAGATTTAAGTTGGAACAGACAGAATAGAACTTGTAGTGCCACATATAGAAATAATGTAATAATAATAAATCTAGTTATTCTAGTTACACAATAATTTCTATTCAATGATTTACAAACTGCGCTGCATTAAACAGGCCTGATAACGTTCACCTTGTGATGAAACGTTTGTTGGTCAGTGATCTTTAAGTACTGATATTTACGATATCCTCTGAAAATTTTATCGTTGCGTAGTTTATCACGATAAACGACAGACCTCTAGTTTACAGCTGGCTTTTCGTGCACTCAGGTGAGGATCTGAACAGGATCTGATCACCAAAAACTCGTGTTAAAGTGAGGTGTAAACAGACACTTTGGGTTTTGACCTGTTTTACCGACGTTTTACTGATGAACTCATACAAAGCAGCAATAAAATCTGGGTTAACTTTACGTAACATACTTTACATACTTAACATCAGAACATTTGCGCTCTGTTGTTTGACTCTTCGTCTCTGTCCTCCGCTGTTGGCGTCACAACTCAGACTTTGAAGGGTGTTCATGTGGTGCCTCCTGGTGGGAAACTTGTTTTTCCTGAAGAAACAAAGACGACTGGGAAGCAGCAGTATGTTGCCCTGTGTTGGTGCAGTTAGCAAGTGAGGTAACTCGCAAAACATAAACAGTAGAAATGCAAAAGCGAAGAAATAGATATACATGTGAGAGTAGTGCTGCACGCTGATCTGCAGTAATAAAGTAAGATGAATGACGTAATTGGCATCAGTGGCGGGGTGTCTTTTGTAGCTGCGGGGGTCCAGCGAGCTAAAATCACAGTAATTATATACTCATCACAGCACAGTCCTGCACACTGATCTGCAGAAATAAAGTAAGATGAATGGTGTGCTTGGTGTCAGTGGGGTGACTTGTGTGCAGCTGTGCTTAGCCAATAAGCTAAAATCAGTTAGTAAACTGCCATGAACAGTGAAACTATAACAGGTGTTATGAAGGAGGCCGTATTCTGGTCGGAAAATGAGTAGGAAAAGCTCGTAATGCTCAGCATGGAGTTTGTTTACAGGGGAAGCTCCACCCCCAGTTGGGTTTACAGTGCTTTATCCAGACGTTGACATTTGCGTTCACGTTTTTGTGTTGAGTGTTTCTGGCCTTAAAGTAAGAGGCTACCGCAGCGTTAGGAAGGACGTGTTTCTGTCCACCTGCTCTAATTAGATGAAAGTGCGGAACGTTCTGTCCTTCATTTCCTGCAAGATTACAGCAAACAAAGAGAGCAGCACAGCACAGCGGAGCTCATAAACACAATTACAGCGCTCAGGGTGACGAGGCCGTCTGCACGTTCCTGCCTCAGGTGAGCGGAGAGAGAGTTCAGATCACAGAGCGCTGTTTGTGTCTCGCGGCTGAAGCACTTTGGCATCAACATCTCTCCTCTGTAAACCCGTTACCCCTCTACTGCTCCAAACCCGTTACCCCTCTACAGCTCCAAACCGGTTACCCCTCTACAGCTCCAAACCCGTTACCCCTCTACAGCTCCAAACCCGTTACCCCTCTACTGCTCCAAACCGGTTACCCCTCTACTGCTCCAAACCCGTTACCCCTCTACAGCTCCAAACCCGGTACCCCTCTACTGCTCCAAACCCGTTACCCCTCTACAGCTCCAAACCCGGTACCCCTCTACTGCTCCAAACCCGTTACCCCTCTACTGCTCCAAACCGGTTACCCCTCTACAGCTCCAAACCCGGTACCCCTCTACTGCTCCAAACCCATTACCCCTCTACTGCTCCAAACCGGTTACCCCTCTACAGCTCCAAACCCGGTACCCCTCTACTGCTCCAAACCCGTTACCCCTCTACAGCTCCAAACCCGGTACCCCTCTACTGCTCCAAGCCGGTTACCCCTCTACAGCTCCAAACCGGTTACCCCTCTACAGCTCCAAACCCGTTACCCCTCTACTGCTCCAAACCCGTTACCCCTCTACTGCTCCAAACCCATTACCCCTCTACTGCTCCAAACCCGTTACCCCTCTACTGCTCCAAACCCATTACCCCTCTACTGCTCCAAACCCGTTACCCCTCTACTGCTCCAAACCCGTTACCCCACAGCTCCAAACCCATTACCCCTCTACAGCTCCAAACCCATTACCCCTCTACTGCTCCAAACCCATTACCCCTCTACTGCTCCAAACCCGGTACCCCTCTACTGCTCCAAACCCATTACCCCTCTACTGCTCCAAACCCGTTACCCCTCTACTGCTCCAAACCCGGTACCCCTCTACTGCTCCAAACCCGGTACCCCTCTACTGCTCCAAACCGGTTACCCCTCTACTGCTCCAAACCGGTTACCCCTCTACTGCTCCAAACCCGGTACCCCTCTACTGCTCCAAACCCGTTACCCCTCTACTGCTCCAAACCCATTACCCCTCTACTGCTCCAAACCCGTTACCCCTCTACTGCTCCAAACCTATCACCCCTCTACTGCTCCAAACCCGTTACCCCTCTACTGCTCCAAACCTATCACCCCTCTACTGCTCCAAACCCGTTACCCCTCTACTGCTCCAAACCCGTTACCCCTCTACTGCTCCAAACCCATTACCCCTCTACTGCTCCAAACCCGTTACCCCTCTACTGCTCCAAACCCGTTACCCCTCTACTGCTCCAAACCCGGCAGCAGAGGGGTAATAGGTTTGGAGCGGAATATGCAAATCAGCTCATTACACAGCACCCAATTACCTATTAATTGTTAAGTTGAACCGGAGTTTTGGTTGTACTGGGAGGGGTTTTGGTTGTACTGGGAGGGGTTTTTGTTGTCGAATGCATCTTGGAGAGACAGATGTGTTTACGCTGCTATAACATGTGGCTCAAATGTGTCTCAGTTCACCTCCTGAAGTAGTCTGAGTGATCAGATCTGATCAGTGGTCTGAGTGATCAGATCTGATCAGTGGTCTGAGTGATCAGAACTGTATCTGGTTAAATGAGTCTTGGGTGTTTTTACACTTGCTTTTTATCCAGATATAATCCTGATGCTCAAGACGCATGAAGTGATCGTGTAAATGGGGTCCATAAGTATTTGAAATGTATAGCCGCTGAGGTGTAGTGGGAGACATTTATAATGGCCACACTTTGCGTTAAATTTCTTTTGAGAGCTAAATAAACCTGATTAAGCTGTAACGTTCCGTATTTTATAAGCTGATGAAGAACGTGTGATCATGTGTGTTTAAAACCTTTTGTGTGTGTCTCTGCAGGTTGAACTGCACTCCCTGTGCGGGTTTGTGTCCTAAAGTGTGTATGGGGCTGAAGACGGTGGACTCGGTGACGGCGGCGCAGGCGCTCAGAGGCTGCACGGTGCTGAACGGCAGCCTGGTCATCAACATCAGAGGAGGAAGTACGCCCACTCTGAGTTTCACAGATCATTGCATTAACATATGGGCGCTGTGATCAGCTGAAATATTTGAAGTACAAAAAAATATGAGAGAAGAAATCACAGCCCAAACTTTCTGTCAGTTGTGTAACATTATACCGCCCCCTGGTGTTGGGCTATCTGATAAGTCTACTTAATGAACCAGTTACATATCAATCAGTGACACAAAGCAGACGGTGTTCATCTCTAACTTCCAGAAGGGTCATAGTGATCCTACCTTTTCTCAACTTCATGGAGGAGTTTCTCCTCTTCCATTTGTGGGTGGAATGGCAGAGCGATGCTTTCCCACACACGGGTGGTGTAGGTTGTCTCTCACATCGCTTACCGCTGGGCCAGTGTGTTAGACTGTGCTGAGAGCCAGACCTCTGGATTGTAGTAGGTTTTATCGCTCAACGTTGCTGAGCACCACCTACTTTAACAGAAAGGTTTCGTTTGACATGCGAACCCACCAATCACAGATCACTGTTTAAGTATGGGAAGTAGGGGCCAGAGTTCTTCAGAACAGTGCTTCAACAAAAACTGACCCGCAGGAAACAAAGTGACATGAAGGATATGTAGTTCAGACTGTTTCAGATAAAATTCCTGAAACTTTTTCTTAAAGATGCCGTGAAGTTCGCAAACTTTTTGATGAGGGGAACTGATCTGATTTGATCTGCTGTATTAAACGACATCAGCCACAGAACTGAACAGCGAAGGCTTTTGTACACAGATCCACACACACCGCATGGTAAACAGCTGTAGGCAGGCGAAGAGCAGAAGGAAGAAACTCTCTTTAGAGGAGCTGACAGAGGAGGCGCTCAATCCTTCTCTGAAAGGCTCATTGTTGTCGCCGTGTGCAGAGCAGGCCGCTGGTCACTAGCTTGATGAAAAGTTTTCTCTGTTGGAATGATGTGAAACTGGAAGCACAGATAGGTGTGGGAGGAAGTTGGGTTGGATGATATGGCACAAAATATAACATCCAAACTGACTGGAGTTCATTTACACAGATAGAGAATCGTGTAGGGGTACAGCTTGATTAATCAAGGCGAGAGTGTGACGATTATGTAACGATATGTAAACTATATGTATGACAATGTTTATTTATCACATATGCATCACAATCACAGTATGTATCACATTATTTATGTATCACAATATTTCTTTTTTCTGAGGTTTCTAGAACAGAAAAAAATGCCAGATTTAAAATATAGTATTAAATATTATGAATACAGTGATTTTTGTTCAGTTTTTTTGTGCTGTATTGCACCAAATATAGTTAAACAGGGCTAATTATGCTCTCTGTATGATGGAACATGCAGTCTGTCAGTTTTGTTTAAGTATTGACGGAAATGCATATTGTGCCACAGTGTATCACGATAGTGATATCGTCATATTGCCCACCCCATATTGTGTATTTATCTATGAATGTAGCAGCAAAACCTCTCCAAAAATGTAACTTTAAGGAGGAAAGCATTCATTTTCAGTGTCGGCACTAGACTTTGAATCAGTCATACAGAGTTTTATGCTGAAAAAGGCTTCGACCAGCCAAATCGGTGTTTAATCTGAGCGGTCGGCCAAGTGACACAGACTAAAAATAATAAAATCCTAGTCTGTAATCTGAATCTGAGCGTATTAGCTGAGTAAAACCTGTTGTTGTTGTGAAAACAAATGTCTGACAGCCCAAATAAAGCTGAGGTCTGAACAGGACCTCAGTTTACCTTACAGAGGTGTGTGTGTGTTTTGTTTGTGGTGGTTTTATTATTGTTTTATTCCTGTAGATAACATCGCGGCGGAGCTGGAGGCTAACCTGGGTCAGCTGGAGGAGATAACAGGCTATCTGACTGTGCGCCGCTCGTACGCCCTCGTCTCCCTCTCTTTCCTCCGCAAGCTCAGACTCATCCGCGGAGAGACGCAGGAAGTCGGGTAAGAAAACCCGTCACACTTAGCGTCCCATTTAACCTTCACCGTAACATCTGTTATAGAATTTACTGAAGTCTTTAAGGTGAATTTCTCACGGTGAAATGTTTACACATGTAAAGCACAGTCAACACTTTCAAATAGCTTAAAAAAAAGTTTAAAAACGAACTTATAAAACATTTATAAGGAGTCGTATGTAAACATTTCTGAATAAGTGCAAATAATGAACACATCCTCTAGAGAGAACGCACATCTGCACATTTTAATGCACAAATACTGTTTATTTGCTGAATTAAAGATGTTGGGGGGAACAAATAAGGCATAAATGATTAATAATATTATAATAATATTATAATATTATTATAGTATTATTTTTACAGTATGTCAATTTCAGCAAATACATAGAAACTGTGCACAAAATTTGCAGGAAAATGGCATATTTGTGGGTTTTTCACTTAGAAAATCAACAAAACGTCATTTAACTAAGGATGTTTAGTTTTCTGCATATGACTGTACAACAGGAGGGAAAGTAAATGGGATGATTTAAAAGTAAAAACCTTAAAAACACCAGAAAAACAAACGTCAGACAAGCTAGATATGATCCAAACTAATAAAAGCAAAATAATGAGCATCTCAGTCCGTCTCGGAGTTAAAGCTGCTGAGCCTTATGTTCAGACCTGGAAGGAGTCAGATAAGCATTTCATTTCTTTTTTTATGATATTCAATTTCCTGTTTCGTGTCCGTCTCTTAAAGGAACTACTCGTTCTACGCCCTGGATAACCAGAATCTGCGGCAGCTCTGGGATTGGTCCAAACACAACCTGACCATCCTGCAGGGCCGCATGTTCTTCCACCACAACTCCAAACTCTGCATGGCCGAAATACGCAAGATGGAGGACGTCACAGGGACCAAACACCGCCAGGTCAAGAACGACATCGCCTCCAAAACCAACGGAGACCAGGCGTCCTGTGAGGAAACATGCAAACGCTCATAAAATACAATACATCATAAAACTAAACAAATCCGGGTAGAAGGCAGGGATGCTGTACGCCACCGCTGTCGGAAAAACAAACCTCGTATCTCCAAAACAGAAACATTCTTAACTTATAATGTGAGTTAAAGTTTTTATTCCAGTTCATTTTGGACTGATTCTATTGGTCCGTTCATTATAAAATGCTCGCGAAGTGTAAAGTCTAGCTGGTATTTTCAGATTGTAGCAAAAAAACAACAAAAATGGAGGTACAGGGTTTCGTTCCAACAGCGACAGTATGCCTGCATACGCAGAGGCGTCACGCAAATTGATATGATAATTATTTTTCAGAGTCAGCTTTATTGTTATTTCTTCTCATCACAGATATTTATAAATACAATAAATACAAACTATTATATAATAAATAAACTCTTTTCTACAATATACAGTAACTACAGAGCAGCTGTTGGTCCGCAGCTGCAGTAATAATTAGGGTTCTATGTAGAACCAGAAAATGTTCTGCTATTCTTAAGATGTCACACTTGCACACTTAAAGATGCTTCTTCAAAGGCTCTTCAGTAGAGACCATGGTTCTATGTAGAACCATTAATACTCCAAGAACCCTTTGTATGTTTAAGGGGTTCTTTGCATGGTGAAAGAGTTCTTCAGATTGATGGAGAATGTGTTTGTAACAACCTCAATGATGGGTGGAGGAAGGATCCCGGGGGCAGGTATGAAGACGGAGAGCTTTTATCGTTTATACACAACGCAAAAACCGCTCGGCTTTTCAGCCCACAGATAAATTAAGACAATGCGCTCGCTGGGACCTCTGAGTCCTTTTTCTCTTTCTCGCTCAGCTCAGCTCAACTCAGTTCAGCTCGGCTCAGCTCTCGCGCCTTCACGGGTCTCCTTCTCTGTCTGGGCTCTGCCACCTACTGAAGGAAGAGATGACTATAAGTAGGCTGGCAGAAACAAGGCACAGGTGAACATCATCAGCTACTGTCAGACCGGCTTCTCCATCCCCCATTCGATGCTCGGCCACGCCCCCTTCTCCGCAGCGTTGTAGATGGTTCCTTATAGAACAGGGCCTTGTATAGCAACAAGAGTTCTTGATATCATAACAATAGCAGAATGCTTTTTGTTGCTACACAGAACCCTTTTTGAAAAAAACGTTCTGCTATTGCTCCACCCATCAGTGATCTCCGTTTTCTGCCAGACACATGAAGCGGTACGGGCGTATTCTATATAGAACCATCTACAGCACGCTGTAGAACCATTTCACAATGCAAAGAACTACTTAATCATGCAAATTGTTCATGTTCATTGTTCTATATAGCCATATGCCATTTTCTATATACCATTTTCTTTACTAAGGAACCATCTTAAGAGTGTGTGACAAGAGAACAACCTTTTTTGGTGCTTTGAGATTCACTCGGAAGAGGCCCTGAATATTCTGCTGTAACTCCCGTTATGATGAAGCAATCTGAGCCAAAAAATATGCTACATACCTTGATATACGTGTAATCGATTGCATTGGATGCTGGAAGTGATCTCCGTTTTCTGCCAGACACATGAAGGAGTACGGGCGTATTCATCCGCAAGTTGCAAACGGAGGTTAAACGTCTCTGCGGCTTTCCAGCGTCTACCTCATCGCTCCGATGCAGGGGCACCCCAGCTTGTTCGAAGCTCCAGACACCGAGAAGCGCATTGCATGTTGTTTCATTCTGAGTGCTTCGTCCTAAAGAGAGTTATTACAGAATATTTGGGGCCTCTTTCAAGTGAATCTCCCTGTAGAACCATTTTCAAAATACTGCATAGAACCATATACAACACATTTTCCATCAATCTGAAACCATTTTACCGTGCAGAGAACCCTTTAATCATGCGAATGTTTTTTAATAGATAGTTGATATGCACTGCCTGTTAGCTACATTAGCCTCATAGCTCCAGTGCTAAAGCTAAAGAGAAGCTTAAGACGCCAAGCACAGCGTCTGATGGTCTGCACATCGGTAGAGTAGGAGGAGCTTAAATGAGGTTTTTAGCTTGAAGCCTGTGTTCAGAGCTCCGGGCTGCAGCTGATGTTTGTGTTCTGGTTCCTCAGGTGAGAGCCAGGCGCTGAAGTTCACGACGATCCGCACACTGTCCGACAAAATCATCATCAAATGGGAGCCGTTCTGGCCTCCAGACTTCAGAGACCTGCTGGGCTTCATGGTCATGTACAAAGAGGCGTAAGTGACCCTGAGCGCCAGCTGCTTCTCCAGTTCAGGCAGAAGTGTTATTATTATATTATTATAGAATTAAATCAGATTGTATCATCAGTAACTAGTCAGAAATGACATTGTAGTTGCCATATTTGGAATAATAAAAGGAATGGTTTGGCAAAAAAATCTAATTTGCTCAATTTTCCACTCATCCCAGATGTGGTCATGTTTTTTGCTTCTTTAGTTTAGTGCTAGAGACTGTCAATGCTAACAAACACTGGAAGTCAATGGTCACCCAAATCTTTTCTGCAAATACATCCCGAAAGCTTCTCTCAACCCACTCAGACTGCATCCAGCTCTTCATTAAGGTGGAGCAGACTTGTAGTCGTGGTTTAGGACACAGTAGAACTTGGTGTGATCTGTGAACATGAACAGAACTGGTTCAGAACAGAGCACATGCTGATTTCTGAAGTCTTGAATGTAGTTTAGGGTTTAGTCCACTTCAGTTCATGTCAATAGGTAACAGTAAGTCATGCTGCACTCTAAACCACATTAACAACTCTGCGCCACCTTATTTGAGACCCGGATGAGGTTGTTCAGCAGGTTGGGAGAACCTTTGGGGATGTATTTACAGAAAAGATTTGGGTGACTATTGACTTCTAGTGTTTATTAGCTTAGCCTCGTACCTCCAATGCTAAACTGAAAAAGCAAATTTGGGCACCATACATGACCACATCTGGGATAAGTGGAAAATGTGTAAATGTAATTTTTTGCTATTCCTTGTTATGTAATTATGTAGTTATATGCTGTTGTGTAGGTTATATAAGTTATGTAATTATACGCTATAGATTAATGTGAATTATAAGTTTTGTCCATTGATTCAAACTATATGACAAACTGTACAACAAAGTTAATTTAAACTGGATGTGTATTTAGTTGTGTTCAATTATTGTTATGTAAATTATTTATGTATTTATTTTAAATAAACTGTTTGTCGTGGTGGTGGTCAGTTC